CTCAAAGCGCCTCCCTGTCCTCCACGTGGCTTAGCAGAGCTTCTATGAGGATCTCTTCCATGATCTTCCCAGGAACAGAGGTGGGGCTGACAGGTCGGCGTTCCCAGGGTCCTCCTTTCCACCCTTTTTAAAAATGAATAAAAATTTAAAAAAGAAATACAGACTCTAATTAAAATGTAAAAATCTGTAGTTAGGTAACAGTGTATTTTTTTGAAATTACATATTCTGAAAACAGTACGTTGCTGTGGGAGCTGTCTCCCTGCAGCACGTAAATAAGCACTGATAAAATCTGATGGAGCTTTTCAGCCCTCTACCTCGGCAGCGCACACACCGCGCAGCAAAAGGCTTTGCTTTCTTTGCAGCTTCGGAGACCCAATTTCAGACAGACGCTCGGTGGTTTCTCTGCGTGTCTGCTTTTGCGCGCAGGTGAGAAGATAAGGGCACAGTGTGGGATGGAGCTTCAATCTGAACCGGAGAAGCGGGAGGAAGGGCAGAAACGCAACGGTTTTGTAGTCCCCTGTGCGTGTGCCTGGGTGCGTTTTGTGTAAAGAGATGGTTTAATCTCATTATATTTTTATGAATTCTTAATGCAGCTGTTCATTCTCAGAAAGCGCCCCGTTCTGATGAGCCGGCAGACATCACCCGTGTATATTTTAATTGCGTTAATGCTTTTGCACTGCCAGCCAGGTCATCCTGCTCAGTCCACTTCACTGTAAACGGCCTGACCTGGAGCTGACGGAACACGAAGGAGAGGCCTCTTCTGACTCCACGGGCCGTACGTCTCCTGTTCACCAAGCCCGGTGTTGCTTTTGCTCGGGGTGGTGGGGATGGGACATCACTCGCAGTTCTGCAGGTTGGGGCTTGTAACTTCTTGGCCCCAAGGGTGAAAGAAGCTCCCTGGCGTCCATCAAGCGCAGCTTTTCAGGACTCTTCTACCTGTAAATACCCGCGATACGAGGACTACTCCTGGGAGCACTTCTCCCCCGAATATCAGTTATTCAGCAACACAAGAGCTTTTCTACGTGGGATCACCCAAGAAGACAGCAACACAAACTCATGAGAACAGAGTCACCCCACCGCCTCCCGCCGCTCAGACAGCCCTCACCGCTTAGAAAAATACCTTAAAGAGGAGGGCAAAGAAATGAAATCTTGATTAACTCTGACACCTTGTGGACAATTAGCAGATGAAGATGAAGGCCGAGGGGGAACCTCTTCGTGCTGCGGGCTCGGCCATGGTCGCAGGCACGCTGCAGCCCTCGCAGCCCAGCCCGGTGCGCGTCTGCGTGCCTGGGCACAGCCTGCTGCACCCAGCAAGCGAAGGCTGAGTTCTGGTATCTGGTGGTATCTGGAGTGCTCAGCATCACCCTCGTGTTGCAGCAGACACGTCCTGGACGCGTCGGTTTACCCTGAACGGCTCCGTGCAGAGGCCAGTTTGAGTCAGCAGCCTGAACCTGATTATTCGCGTTGCTGACGGTGCGGTCTGGTCCTTAGCTGTCACATGAAATGTAACCAGGGGCTAACTGTGTCTGGGGACCTCAGGAAGCAAACTGACTGCGATGACTCATTTGAACTGAAGAACACCCATCCACTGGCCAGCATTTACATATAAACGCGTCCCTAAAATAGAACATTTTGCAAACGTACCTAACCCTCCATGGTTTCAGTGGCCATCTAGCACCCGTGTTTTGGAGGAGCACTGGCCAGTCAGCCGACCATTTACATTCAAGGGAAACCAGGCAGCTAGCAACTTTGCAGGTGGCTTGTTAATGGCTTCTTGGCAAAGCGGGAGGTCACCCGATGGGACAGAAACTGGGTGCAGTGAGCAGTGCTCTTACTAGAGACAAGGGCAGCAGACAGCACGTCCAGCTAGAGCTGCAGGTGAACCAGATGGAAAGGGATCACAGACTTCCAGAGCGCCAGAAACTCACAGCACTCTGAAGAAATGGGATGTAACCCAAATTTACCACTCTGAGAAGCAACGTCCTGAGTGAGCACCGCAGTGCTTAGCTCCACGCCCTGCCTGCTCCCCATCTCAGTGTCCTGAGGAGCACCAGAAAGGAGAGCGGGAGGCCTCCAGCGTTGCTTCTCAGATAGGTGGCGATCAGGCCATGGGCCAGATGCATCTTTCCCCCTCATTTCCAGCACCTTTTGAGCTTCCTCCATCCTCATGGGCACATTACAGCCTTGAGATAGGAGCAAGGCTGTGGTGTCCTGGGATGGGGACAGCTAGGGACACCCCACCACGGAGCAGAGCATCTCATCCCAGAGCTGGCTTGGGGTGAGGGTTACTGGGAGCAAACAGCAGACTGGAGGGATTGCCCTAAGGGGACAAAACCACCCGGGAAGGGGTGCTCCAAGGCACTGCTTGTGCCATCCCAGTGAAGGATGGGGATTAGATAGATGGTTTCTCAATTACACCATTTCTTTGATGGTTGGATGCAGCCCAGTTGCTGAGTGTGCTGCAGGAGATAAACACGCAGACCTTGCTTTTTGAAGACCGTGAGAAAATGAAACATGAGTTTAAAAATAAAAGCAAGGAAGCTGGCGGCAGCTTCTGCTTGGGGAGCCCACAGGAGCTGCGGTTAGGTGGCCCTGCTCACCATCACCATCAGCCAGAAATCTTTCCACAGCAGCCTTGAGCAGTGGCTGTGCAAGCTGCCAAGTCCAAGTACTGCAACAATTAACAAGCTGAAAAAACAGCTATTTTTGTTCTTTGTCGCTTGAGAGCTCTAAATGCTACTCTTTTTTTGCAACACAAAGGAAAAAAACATTAGTTACAGGGTACGAGTTACTAATATCTACCTACAGAGACACTTTTTCTGGCAGATGCCCCTTGCCAGCGGTGCAGGAAATGAGTCAGAAGGAATGAATCAGTGTCTGCAGTGCCACATGAAATAGGAAGCTGATAGTTTTAACCGTTGTGTTAGACACAGGAGGGAACCACTGCAATGAGAATTATAACCCTGTGGGGAAACACCCAATAAAACCAAACTCCTGCCTGTGTTGCCTTACTGAAGACAAGTCCCAGTCGCAAACGCTGACAAAAATGGATGGCCCAACAGTTCGACATGTGACATTTCACCGTCCAAACTCATCTGAATCAAAGGAGAGACAGAAATTGGAAGCATCTAAAAATAAAGTTATCTGACGGAAAAAAGTGTTAAACTGAGGCTACTAGGGTGATGAGAAATGGAAGCTGCTGATTCGAGTAGGTCTCTGCTGGTTACATTAGCTTAAATACATGGCAGCTCTGGCTGCGTTTACAACAGCCAAACTTCTCAAGCCCACCCTCTGCTACCCTTTTCGTCATGGTCTGTCCCCATGAGGAGAGAGAAGGTGGGTCCACCGGGTCCACCGAGGGGGTCAGGGGGTCAGGAGACATGCCACCCACGCAACACCTAACGTACAACTTAATGCAGGTATGCTTCAGAGGTTGGCACCCACATTTTGATCGCTGGGCCATGTGGCTGCTCACGTGCAGAAGCTGGGCTGTAACACACCTTTATTCCACGTATTCCTCCCCTGCTAGCCAGAGACCAAAGCACAGATGACCTTGAACTGCCAAAAGGACAGGCAGCTTCTCCTGCTCCTCTACGAGCAGCATGGCAATCGGGCAGCCTGGCAAGGGGACTGACACAACAGGAATGGTCCTCACCTCTGTGGGGACAGTGGGCGACCTCTGAAAGCGCAGCTCTGAAGAAGATGGCAGGATGTTTTATACAGAAAACATTTCTAAACCTCTGCTTTGTACTGAATAGTCAGATAGGAAATGCAAATGTGAATATCGACAACTTTTGCAGTGCCTTTGCCTTTACAGCCTCTGTTTTTGTTCTCTACAGGAATCAGCCACCCATCCTATACCACAACAGAGGTTTCCAGCAGCCCAGTCATGACACAAAGCAACCAGACCTGCTCCAGTCACAATATCACGTTCAAAAACAGCCTGTACGCGACCACGTACACCCTCATCTTCATCCCCGGCCTCCTGGCCAACAGCGCTGCCCTCTGGGTCCTGTGCCGCTTCATCAGCAAGAACAACAAAGCTGTCATCTTCATGATCAACCTGGCCGTGGCCGACCTGGCTCACGTCCTCTCGCTGCCACTGCGAATATACTATTATATTAACTCCACGTGGCCTTTTGGGAGATTCCTTTGCTTACTATGCTTCTACCTGAAGTACCTCAACATGTACGCCAGCATTTGCTTCCTCACCTGCATCAGCATCCAGAGGTATTTCTTCCTGTACCAGCCGTTCAAAGCCAAGGACTGGAAGCGGCGCTACGACGTAGCCATCAGCATCGTGATGTGGCTTGTAGTCGGGATAGCGTGCTTGCCGTTCCCCATCATGCGCAGCTACGGCCTGACCAACACCACGAATACCTGCTTTGCAGACCTTCAAGTCCGGCAGATCGACAGCAAGGTGGCCACCGTGCTGATGACAGGCACGGCGGAGCTCTTTGGGTTCATTGGCCCGCTCGTCATTATTTTATTCTGCACTTGGAAAACAAAAGACTCTCTTCGTGGCTTCCAGATACCACTGCAAAACAGCTGCGAGAGGCGGAAGGCTTTAAGGATGGTTTCCATGTGTGCCGTTGTGTTCTGCGTGTGTTTTGCACCGTATCACATCAACTTCTTTTTCTACATGCTGGTGAAAGAAAATGTCATTACAGACTGCTTCCTGAGCGCCATCACGCTCTACACCCAACCCTTTTGCTTGAGTCTGGCGAGTCTGGACTGCTGCTTGGATCCGATCCTGTATTTCTTTATGACTTCAGAGTTTCAGGACCAGATATCAAGGCACAGCAGCATGGTCATCAGGAGTCGGCTCATGAGCAAAGAGAGTGCCTCATCAATTAAGGAATGACAAGAAAGCCAGCTTAGAAGAATGAAGATATTTCATACGAAATCTGTGACTGTTCTGTGATATTCGATTACCAACTCCGTTGTGGAAGATCCTGGAAGTTTATTTGGGGGAGTTTTGTGGCAGTGGAATTCTTCCGATACATAGAAGATAAAACTCTGTTCAAGACCAATATGTTGGGAGCTGATGAGCAAGTCAACTGTCATGACTACGCCTACCGCTGTGCCACCCATTCCTGACTTTGCTGGACTAGAAAATATACAGGAGGGAGTAACAAAGCTTTTGCTAGGAAATGGTGGAAACGTCCCAGGAGCTTTTCTTCCATTTTCCCAACTCCACGGCTCTACGATCAAGCCAAAGACGATCCCACGTCCACACACTGACGTCTGCTGCAATGTCTTCTCTGCTAAACACACACAATGCGTCCAAAGACCTGAAAATGGCTGGTAATAATAAATGACAGTTTTGGTCTCTGCACTCAGGGCTGCAGACGGATGAAGGCTGGCAGCTTGCTTCAGCACGGCAGCTCTGGCTTTGAGTGCATCCCACTGGTCACCATACTTACCTCTGCTTCGCTGTTCCCGCACTCTTCCTCCTGCTCTCGTTCATTATTTCCTCATCACCTCACTCTACAGGACTTTAATCCCCTCCAAGCAGCCCATGGGGGTGAAGGGGGCATTAGAACGTGGCCTTTGCCTCCGGACCCGGAGGGGCAGGACCGCCGGGAGCGTGCCGGGAGCTGCCGGGCTCAGCATCAGGGGATTTGACATTTTGACATTGTTGGTGGTACCATTCAGGTCCTCACTCTCTTCTGTGTGTGGCTTCTTCGTCCCAGAGGTACCTGTGATGGATCCGCCCTGTGAAATCTCTGCTCAATGGGATCAACTGGCAGAACTCTTTAAAAAAAAAGAGTTGTCCTTGCCAAGGTGATTTCACTAATAGAGCATAAGCTAATTTCTTCGGTAAATTACTCATCATGATTTTTTTCCGACCAGCTTTTCTCATAATCTTAATGTTTACATTTTAATAACTTTGTCAGCTATGAAGATACGAAAAACAGCAACAAGGAAGCCACTTACCCCTTATTTTAAATTAGTGACAGCTCTTTGGCCAAGTTCACCCGTGTTGTGTATCTTCAAGGGCACCCTCACGATACCTGGGGATTGCTTTGGCTGAACACATGCACTGATTTTATTGCCTTTGAAAACCGGTGTTTCTTCAAAAGGAACATGCACAGCTCTCCGTAAGCACCAGTGCCAGCATCTTACACGTTGCCATAAAAATAGAATACCAGAGATACTTGCTAAGTATATTTTAAATCTAACTACTCAGTTCCACTTAATTACATTTTAACCCAGCCAAAAATTTTCTGCATATTATGTTTACCACTTGACTCTCACACACTAAAATGGGGAAAACCAACTACCAGCCAGGTTTAAATTGCCATTACACTGGAGTTCCTCCAGAAGCCCGCGAAGACGTACTGATTAAATACAATAAGCTCGTGTAGTTCTCCTCCCATTCGTGAGAAGATTATTACGGGCTATAGTACAATGAACCTTATCTTCTGTGTAGATATGTGAAAATACCAAAATATGCCTATCTGAAGGAAGCAACTTTCACAGAGGGAGCATTACTGCCGGCTTTGCTAGTTTTCTGGTGAGAAAGCTGCAGCGTAAGCAAACGGCCCATCTCCCACCGCAGTCAATGGAAAAGTTTTCTCTGCTTTAACCGGCAGTCCTTTACGCCAATGACATATGTACGAGTTTACACACCACAAGTAGTCCCTTTAAAAATGTGAGTAGAGGTTGATGCTCAGGTATGCAGCTAAACATGCATAACAATTTTCATCAGTTTAGCAGTTCCCATAAGCTAGACACTGTGTAATATTGCCAGTGAAGGAGCTTTCAGTTTCAAGGGTTGGTTCTGAGGATTTTTATGGACCTTGATCCGCTAGCACATGACTGGGAGGTGTTTACTGTGATTTCTTTCTCGTAGAATTCTGCGTTTATCAGGTGAAAAGAAGTTGAAGGCACTGTTACGGTAACTATGTAGCTTGTCCTACATTTTTCCTTCTGAAAATTGATGCTTAAAAAATAAAGGCATTTTTGCAAACGCAAGCTGAGTTTCATAGTTATCACTTACACCCAGTGACGGTAGCGAGAGCTTTTTTAAGCCATTTACAACAAGACTGGTAAAGCAGAAATTGGTACTGAAAGTTATAATGCAGACCTGGCAGGGGAATACCTCCTCCAGCATCCGAATGTCCAAAGAGCGATGGTGGCTCTCCTACCCCTAACCTTAACAACGAATTTGGTGGCACCATGAGGGACAACATTCTCCATCACCATGCTGGCATCCCCAAGCACCTCAGCCCCCATCCTCCTGCCCTCTGAACTCTCTTGGACCCCCCAAAACTCTCCTTTTACATACCACAGCCCCAGCCTGAGAGGAAGTCACACGCTCAACGCTTGCAGCCTTCCAAGCCAACTCATTTTGGTGGGCAGGTTAGACAACTTGGTCTAATGGTCTGTTCTGGTGTGTGGGAAAGTGAACTGGTTTTGGCTAGGATAGAGTTAAATTGGCTGCATGGTGCTTAGCTGCCAGGTAGGCTTAAACCATGACAGAAAGTTAGCCAAGATGGTCATGATGGTGAGCTAGCCTAGAGAGCAATAAGTCATAGTAAAAAGAGACCAAGGAAAACTTGCAGTTTTCTGAAAGCGTGCAGAAAGTCAAAGACCATGAGCTTGGCCTCCACAAACTGGTATGTGAAACTCAAAGCTTTCGGTTCCAGTCCTCCAGAACCTCAGCAGTGTGTCTCGGGAGAAGATCAGAGAAATCCAACATCACTGCAGAGGAGAACAGCATCTCAACTGCCTTCGTGGCTGGGAGGTGCTGGATCCCAGACACGACCTGGGGCTGCAGGTGCTGGCTGTCAAAGGCACAATGTGCCCAGCTCCCGTTCCTGTAATTCACCCCCTTTCCTGTGACCATGAAATGTATTTATTATTTTGACAAGAGGAAATGTAATTACATGATGTTACTCCTGGATTATCTCTTGCGCTGCTCCCACCGCCCAGACTCACCAGCTACAAAAAGATGACATCTTCAGCCTTCTTGGGGAGACACAGAAAGAAGCCTTTCAACAGAGATGCCACAGAAAGGCCAAAGTTAGCCAAATCAAGAGGCTGGGTACAGCTAGGCGGGTTTGCAAAGGCTGGATCGGAGGGGGCCCACGGGCACCCAGTGCTGGAGCAGCCCTGTGCCAAGCCTCACCGTGAAGGGCGGAAACAGCGAGGTCTCCAAGCCACCCACACCGATGGCAGCTCCTGTCCCCTGATGGCACGGCCCCGGGAAAAACCACGGCGTGACATACTCTCTTTCTCTAGCACATGCACCATTCACCTCTTAGCAAAAGAAAATGCGTTTCTTTGCAGTGCCAGCAAAAGGCCACCTCATCCTAACTGGTATCAGAGGTCTGGTGATTCCTCTCCTGCTTGGGAAAGGGCCCTCCTGTGCTCAACAAACGTATTTGGAAAGAAATCCCATGGGGTTTAATGCCCTTCTGCAGCCTCAGGTTCTGAGCTGCAGGTCCTCACGAGTACCTTGGCTTCATTTTCTTTCCTTAAATGAAATTATGAGCTCTCTGCACAGAGAAAAAATAAAATACGCTGTAAATGCAGAGTAACAGCTCTGGGAGCCAGCTAAAAAACTATGAAAACCCTTCATTGCATTTAACAGATTTTGGGGCTATGGCTGGTGCATTTTGACCAAAAATGCGGAGTCTGTAGATTACACAATGGCTTAGCCCGAAAAAGTAGGGAGCGACTGACAATTATTTGCTGCAAAAAAAATTAATCAAAGCTTCTTAAAAAAGCTGTCACT